GTTAGCTGCCTCTAAGGAGGTTTCTACAGGGGGTGGAGGAGGGGGCATCATAACTCTGGTCCAAAAGAAAAGGGAAAAAAGAAAGAGAAAAAAAGTTGAGGTAATGTTTCTCTGTGGATGAAGGGCTGATGGAGCCAAAAGCCAGTTTTATCTGATTTCTGAGAACCACCATCCTGAATGGCCTCACTACACGAATGAACAAAAGGAGAGAGAGTGGGATCTTCTGGTCTGGAAACAGCAGCCCAGGTGATGTGTTGCAGGCAAGCAACTCTCCCGGATTTGTGCCATTACTGCAAAGCTGTGTCAAGTAGGTCATTGGTGCCTCCTCTGACTACTGTCCCGGGGCACTCAGGAAGTGACCTAGCATACTTTCCGAGACCTTCATGTATTTAGCACTCTCATCATTTTTAACAGAAGACATGATAGTTTTCTAAGATCCATTCATATCCAGCAATTTAGGTTCATCAACTGTATATGGTACAACATCACGTCCTGCATCTGATGCAATGAGCGAGTATTTAAGAACATAATAGGCACAGAGAGCACCTTTAGAGATGCCAACCTAGGCGAGATTCCTATTTACTAGATGGAAAAAAAAATCATTTGAAAGAGACAACTACTAAAATTTCTCTTTGGAGGATACATAGGACTTAAGACATGCTTTAATAGCTGCCAGAAGACAGACAATGAGACTTTCCCCCAAGGAATATAGATGTGACCTGGATGCTCTGAGGAAGGGGAAGATATCGTTCATATGGAAGTAGAGAAGCTGAGGGAGTTGGCACAGGCCTCTAATCCTGTCACTGGAGGAGCTGTGAGGAAAGTCACAAGACTACATCACAGGTTCTGGCCAGCCTAGCCTCTCAAAAATAATAAAACAAAAAAATCAAAACCAAGAGAGAAAAAGAAAAAGAGAGAGAGAGAGAGAGAGAGAGAGATAAAGAGACAGAAAGAGAAGGAGAGAGAGAGAGGTCTGAGCCTATCAGGTGATGGACGGAAGCTCCCGTCTCACACTAGAGTCTCTCCTTGAGTCCCTTCAGATCCTCCACAGGAGACTGAAACACATGGATACTTGGTGTAGAGCTTTGCCCTCTTCCTTTTGCTTGGTGTAGAAACTGAGGAAGGGATTGATCCTCACACAAGAGAAGAACAGGCAGAGCAATAGGAACAAGGCCTCAGAGGAACACAAGGAGAACATTTCCAGAAACTTTGGAAACTGTGTGTAACCTGACCCCCCCCCACACACACACAAGCTAAATAAGCAGCACTGTGTCCATATTTGTCTGAATTCCTCAAGCCTTCAAGTCCTTGACAGTTTCTACATAAGTACCATGATTAGCAAATAAATAGCACCAAGGGGGTGAGCATTAAATAGAGGCATCTTGGGGCCTGCTTCTCTGATAGGAAAACCAAGTCATAAGCAAATGACAGGATGGGACATGGCACCTCTGGGCTTCAACGACGAGAACACTTTTGTACTTAAGAGCAAGCTCATTTTCTTGTTCCAATCAACCATTAAGAACTTACTGAGAAAAAAGAAGAAAAAAAAAAAAAAAAAAAAAAGAACTTACTGAGGATGTATGTGCCAAGGACTGAAAGGACTGAAAAGGAATATCTGCCAAGAGGTGACCTCTGGCCTCCTAGAGGTTCACTGGGGAGCTGGGACTAGTGGAAACAGGTGATGTTCATTGATCATGTCATGACTTTTAGCTCTTTCTCTGAACACTTCATGTACACGATTGTCTTGGTTCATCAGAACAACACTGTGGACTAAATATTTTTATGCTCACGTTATTGGTGATGAAGCAGGCCTTGGATGGTCTGAAAGACTCTGAGGCACACAGTTTTTAGATAGTCCACACCGTTATTAATTAGATGGAGTTGAATCCACCTGTCTGGTTTCTATTAGCATCAGTTAAAATGGTTTGCATTGCAAAGACAATGGTGGGAAAACACAGGTTCTAACCTGTATGACATAAACTACATGTGATGTCTGCAGGAGAGGGCAGAGTGAGGCTGGAATGTTCAGGAAAGTTGACACTGAGGAAGGAAGAGGGGCCTGGGTGAAGGGCGTGAGCAGGGGTGGTGGGCAGCTGGAACATCATCAGGAAGGGGAATAAACAGAGGAAGGAAGACGGCAAATAAATGGGTTGACCACCTTGAAGGCCTTAGCTCTCCCAGGCATCAGCGTTAGTGGCTACTTTCCTCATGGGACTTCAACCTCCAGAGGCTGTCACAAACCTCAACATCTACAGCGGTCACCTTCCCAGTTGTGCCACTGAATCTTCGAGAACGCCATATATACTTGTTCCCTCAATGTGAAGTGAGTAGGTTGGATAAACTAAACATCAAAATAGTTCCTTTAAGATTTTTTTAAAAAATATTTATTTATTTATTTATTATGTATACAATATTCTGTCTGTGTATATGCCTGCAGGCCAGAAGAGGGTACCAGACCCTATTACAGATGGTTGTGAGCCACCATGTGGTTGCTGGGAATTGAACTCAGGACCTCTGGAAGAGCAGGCAATGCTCTTAACCTCTGAGCCATCTCTCCAGCCCCTCCTTTAAGATTTTTTTTAAACAAATAGTTTGATTTTTAAAAAATTCACCAATATACTCATATATATTTTAAGTGTCAAAGAGAAAAATTAGAGTTGATAAAAATATCTTTCAAGCTGATGGCCAGATTGCCTCGTGTCTGGCAGAAGCTGGCCATTTATGTCATGAGATATAAGCAGCCCATTGATTTCATCCTCCTGAGATTCTGGTGTTACCACACGGAGAGTCTCAGTCATGTACCTGTCGCTGTTGACTTATGTGAGTAGGTGGCCAGTGGGGCTGCCAGCAGAAGGCCTAGGGAGGTGAGAAAGGCAAATTTGGCAGGCAAGTCCCCGAAAAAGTCCATCATCTGTTGTTTTCCCGCTTCAGAGGCATCACCTTGGGTTTTGGTCTTTTTGTAAATCTCATATGAAATTTGGAAGAAATATTACCTTTGGAAATGATGTAAATGGTTGAGGTGTTTGTCCTTAAATTAGCTTCTGTTATAGACTTTCTCAAGATACATATGTTAGAAGAAGAAAGAGGAACTCTCTCAAAATAGTAAGCACCACTATCATGATTCGCTGGACCAGTACCACGGTTCACGAAAGAAGCTCAGGCTGCTGCCCCTGCTTCTCTCCTGGTCCTGGGGAGTTTCTCTGTGTGTCCCTGGTACTGACATCAAAAATCTGAATCAATTAGATTCCCAGTCAGACATACATGCACATACATACGTACATACATACATAGATACATACATACATACATACATACATACATACATACATACATACATATAACACAGAGGGTTCTCAACCATCATATACCACTCAGGGTGTCATGCAGAGGAGCTCATAGCTGCCTTCACATTTTATATGTTATACAAAGCCAACTCTCTGCTTGTTCATTCATTCATTCATTCATTTTCAAGGCAGGGTCTCCCTCCACAACTCGGGCTGCCCTTGACCTTTCAGCCTTCTGTTTCAGGCTTCCAAGTGGTGGGACTAGAGGCATGAACCACCACACCTAGATCCTATCCTTTTTTGCTCAAGATGGTTAAAGTTAGTATTTGGCAGGGTTAAAACATAGTTTACTAGAGGAAGAGAATCTGTCATTGCTGTGAGGTTCCTTGTGATTAGCTATATGGAGAGCCTGGGAAGAAGAACTCTTTCAAGACCAGAAAGAAACTTCTGAGTAGCTGCTGGACTAGAGCGTCTTACCAGTTCTGTGGGACTTCTGTCTATATTTTCATCGGTTCTAGAAACATCTGAATTGTGTCTGCCATTACTCTGCTCCTTTCTAACCCACTTGGTTCTTCCTTTCAACTTCTGAAGTACAACCAGGAAGCTTATTTATTTGTTTGTGTTTATATTTCGGGGTAGGATGTTTTTAAAACCACTTTTCTCTCACAATCATTTTTTATAAAGTGTCCCTCCACATTGTGTTAGTACCTGATACTGTCTTTGTTTCATTAGTAACACTAGAACTTGGTGTCATTACTTAAAAACCTGGTGCTTCAGATGGGACCTCACTGCTTGCTCCAGGAGGCTCTCTGACTCCCAGGAAGCCTGTCTTTAGTGTTCGGCCATGTTTCCTCTCCCATTCCTAGTTCTAGTTCTTGATATTCTTCATGCCATCTCCTTACTTATAAAATGGAAAGGATAAAAGTACCCACCCCTTAGGATTGTTCTGATTACATACAGCGGTGTACAAGACTCACTATTAAAGCATCTGACTGTAAGAACTTAGCAACTGGCCACTATTCTGTTAGTGAGCCACGTACCTTGTTGATTGAGACAAAGGCCATATTCACTCTTTTCCAAAGTAGTGTTCTTGAGAAAGCTACAAAATTTGGCTCCATGATTTCAAGCCTTAGTTAGCTTTGCTAATTTGAACTATGATAATTTACAGGAAAAACGACATGCTTTTCTCTTAGCTCAGGTCTGCTGGGTTCCACACAGTCATTTGCATTTAAGGGCAATAATAGCACTATTGTGTTTACCTTTTTAAGAAGAAAAGCTGATTTCTTCCTCCCAGTTGTCTCATGGGAGTAGTTTGGGGGCACGGGGACAAGCACACGGGACCGTCACATCCCCTTTACCAAAAATGGACCACAATACTTTAGAAATTTAAAAATGGAGAAGCGGGGCAAGAGTTTGGCAGGAGAGAGAAGACAAGTTAATTTTAGACAAGTGGTAAAGATAAAATAAAGCATTTTACTTAGAAGCATCTTTATGAAATCAGGAATGTGAATTTAGGAATGGTGAGTGAAGTGGGGGTAAGAAGGTGGACATGGAAATCTTAGTGGTCGCAGGCTGGTCTCTAATACCACGTAAACAAATGTCTCTCCCTGGGGAGGGAGGTACGGAAACGAGCATGAAGCTCAGTCTTCTCACTTCTGGGTCAGGTATTTTTAAACCCATGGTGCATTTCATATTGTCCTTTGGCTTTTCTTTCAGACACAAGCTCATGGATAACACACACTGCTGGATGGTTAGGGTTCATTCCACTTCTCCTCATTCCGGTCCTCATAGCATTCATACTGCTGAAAAAACAAGGTAGGTCTGGCAAGAAGGGGTTCTTGCTGGGCTCCCAGTGGTAAGCAAAACAGATCTTAATAGGAGCACAGACTCATTCTCACTACAGCTTTCTGCCTGGGACCCCCTGGGAAAAACACTCAATCAACCCATCCCTGCTCAATTCAGTCCTTTCTTGTCTGTTGAGTCCCACTGCCAGGTTAAGGGAATCAGTAGAGGACAGAGCCACAAGTGTCTAATAAAGAAGGCACTGTGCAGATAATTTAAATGCAGCAGTGAGGTTTGGCTTGTAGGGAAGGCTAAAGAAATAGAAACGGGAGGCACACTCAACTGGTATTTGCTAGGAAGAGAATTCAGAGAAGTCTTGGATCTGTGAAACAGGTCCCAGGGTAGACTAAAAGCAGTAAGGCTGAAGTAATTCCAAGTTTAAATGCTCGATCTTTCTTCCAAATTGTCCTATAGTTCACTATCTCAGGGCCATGTTTCCCCTCAGCCATATTGACTCCCACTCGCCCATCTGGATCAGAGCATCCTGACTCAGATGCCCTGGCTGGCCTTCCCTGGGGGAGCAAGAACACTATGTTGGTCTCCTCACCAAGCTGAGGGCTCATGTCGTGCTCAAGCAGGTCAGTGTGATCCACACACGGTCTTCTTAGAAAAAGCCCTTACCTCAGCACACTGAGGTCGGTTTTGCTTATATAAGAAGGTGTCGAGCATAGCACAGAGGCCTACCTCTGCCTCATTTCCTCCATCGAAGAGTTCTCCGAGACAGTGGGGGAGGGGTGTGTTATACAGATAAAGCTTCTGTTGAGAGCAAAGGGTCTGGGAGTGGATCCACTAGTTTTCATTATTAAAAAAAAAAAAAAAAAAAAACAGCAAGATTCAGAGGCTAAGAAAGCAGGCAAGTGTCCCACGTTAACCTGGCTAGTGAAAGGATGCTATCCTTCCTTCCACACACCTTCCTCCCTACATTCTGCTCAGAACACGGCTAAGCACTCAGGGAACAGCACTTCCCTTTCCACCGAAGTCCACTTCCCCCACCCTCAACACACATCTTACATCAGTTATGCCTTGTAACTCAGTGCTATACAAATCTATGCCAAAATTTGAAGTTAGTTGTTATGCCTTCCACTAAACATTGCTCAAGAGATTCTGCTGGCAATGTGTAACAGTGGCATCTCAAGAATGCCGCCTGACTCTGAAGAATTTTAAAGTGGTTCTGGCAAGTTTGTCTCCAGGAGAATACACTAGTTACGAGCGTAGGCACTGGGCAATGTACAATGAGACAAGTCTGTAGTAACAGCTGCTTGCGAGTCTGAGGCAGGAGGATCACTCCAGCCTGTGGTTCCTAGATCAGCCCAGAGCAGCATAGTGAGACCCCATCTCCAAATAAGCAAATGAGCACATGGAGCTTTGGCCTTAGACAGCACCCACAGGCAGACTTTGGCACCAGTGAACTGTGTAACCAAGCAAACTGGCCACCATCTGCAAAGTGAGGATACTAAACCCTTTGTGGTATTGCTGTGGAGATTAGCAAACCAATGTTCAGAAAACACACAGTGGTTTTTCTGAATGATAAACATGTATACACATGCATTTGTAGACAGACATATCTCTTGATGTGAGTGGATCAATGTTTAAGTCTTAAGGAGATTCTAGAAAACAGTACTTATAGCAGGTTTAAAGTACTGGAGGTTATGATCACATAAGACAATTTATTGCTTCGTGTGAGAGCTAAAAAACCAGTAATGGTCTATGCTCTGGTTTTACAACCACAGTATGTAAAGAGCCCCATTGAAGTGACTTACTGTTCAATGCCGCACAGCAATGCTGGCACTGGTCGTAAGGCTAAGATCTAGGGCTCAGGTCTTTTTCATTACATCCAAAGACTTGGCTGACGTGGAGTCAAGTTGAGCTGGCTCTTGACAATCTGTTTTTGAAATGAAAAAAAAAAGGAGAAGAGGAGGGAGGGAGGATAGGTCAGTGCCTTCCTTTCCACATCCTCACCCATGCATGGCACCTGCAAAGGAAATGGTTCAGTGTTAGGAAAAGTGAAGAGGAACCACCGCAGCATCCCGAAGAGCCTCTGAGAGATTTTTAAGTGACAAGGTCATGTTATAGAGATATGGGAGTAGAATGCATTGTTTGTGTTTTCAAAAAAACCCTATAAACTATAGCACTGATAATCTAAAACTGTATCATTCAATATTTAATTGAACTCCTATTAAGTAGCAGTTTCTCGATTTCACTAGTCACACATGCAAGTGCTCACTACTTGTGGCTATTAGTCTATACAGAGTAAACATTTATGTCTTCACAGAAAGTTTAACCAGAGATGGACATACAGGAAACTTTTTTAATTGATTACTTCTGGGAATACAGTGGGGTTGGTTAATGAGGGAGAATTTCTAGCCAACTTGAATTTTTATAATGTTAGGAGTTTCTGTACAATTTAAAAAGGAAAATTTAAATGTCATCTAAAAATTAAAATGTTTCCCAACTCACTAATTGACAGAGACCCCCGGCTCTGGGTTGGTTTTCTAGATAGGGAATAAAGAAATGACACTGTTGGCCTGTTTTCCAGACACTTCCAAGTGAATCGCCCACCTCTACCCCCACTCCACACACTAGCAAGCCCTCCAGAAATAGGGGGATGAGAAAGCTGTGAGCGAAGCAACATGTTACCAGCTGGAGAAAAAGAGACAGGCTATAAATAGCCTGCTGTGGCCTCAGAAGACCTAGAACCCCACTAGGAGAGCAGATACACACAGACATAGAGATTAAAGTAGCTGAATTGTACAGTGGTCAAATAGCACCCAAGGCTGGGGGGCACAGCACATATTGGACATTTGCTGCCTGCTAGTGTAACTGGTATAAATACTTTTCCGGTATTTTCTCATTTAATTCCCACAATAATCCTGTGAGACAGGCATTTCAAATTCCGTTTGACATTAGGAACACAGGTCTAGACAGATCGAGTAACCAACCGATCCAATGCTACCGACAAATGAGTAGATGCTGGGCTCCTGTGACAGGAAAGGAGGAGAGAGTAGAGAGTAAAGGACAGACAGGACTGGGGGAGGGCCCTCATGCTGAGGACCTGAGGAAGGTAACTTCTGTGTTTCTTTGCAGGTGAAAGAAGCCGCTGCCAGCCACCAGTGGAAGAAAAAGGCCTTACTATTTATGCCCAAGTGCAGAAATCAGGGGTAAGTTCTGTGCTCTTCTTGGGGCATGTCTGTCATATTTCCTACGGGATTCCAGATTGGGCCACCTTGCACACGACCATGGTTCCATAGGGATTCTAGAGTAGATGAAATTAGGGAAGCAGAAATCAAGAATAAGAACTCCCCTAAAAGTTGTTGAACCTGTGTCCCTGGAACTCCTGTTGTTTGAAATAATGGGAAACACTGGGCAGTCTGGTGGCCTGCTTCTTCATATGAGATGAAGCTGTAAACGCACGGCAGTGGACGCTTGTCCAGCGCTGGCATTCTAAGAGTCTACACTGCATCCCCTTCTTGAATGGTACAACCTTGGGAAACGGGGAGGTGTGAGGAGGCTGTTGTGGCATGCTGGCCTGATTCAAATGAAGGCATGTGCGCAGTACGGTTGGACTGAGAAAGGGAGGATCTTGAGAATTTCAGTCAGTGTGGGGTTCAAACGAAAGGGGACATATCGAAGGGAGAGGAGAGAAAAACAAAACTGAGGTAGAGTGACCACTGAACTAAGAAGGACTGATGGGAAAATATGAGGCATGATGGAGTCGGGGAACAGATATGTTAGCAGTGAGGGATAGGGAGTCTACAGGATCCTCAGTAGAGGCTGCTATTTCCCAGACACACTTAATTCTAGAGGATTTTTTTAGCCCATAATTTGTCCATTTAGGACAGTGGGGGGGGGCACATATTCTTGGACAAATAAGAGAGTAAAGATAATTGCATACTAATACAATAAATTCATTCCTGAGGACCAAGAAGACAGTTCTGGGCAGATCTCTTTCTGCTCCCTATGACGGTCTGGTGGGTTTATTACATCATTGTAATATGTAGTTAGGGTTTCTATTGCTGTGAAAAGGCACCATGACTCAGCAACTCTTATAAAGGAAAACATTTCTCTGGGGCTAGCTTATAGTTCAGAGGTTCAATCTATTAACATCATAGTGGGTGACATGCAGGCAGACATGGTACAGGAGAAGGAACCAAGGGTTCTACATCTTGATGGGCAGGCAACAGGAAGTGAACTGTCTCACTGGGCATGGCTTGAGCATGTATGAGATCTCAAAGCCCAACCCCACAGTGACTTGACATACTTCTTCCAACAAGGCCACACCTAATCCAACAAGGCCACACTTCCTCATAGTGCACTCCCAATGGGGGCCAATTTATTTCAAACCACCACAATCACCATAGATGCCTATTAAGGACAAACTGCCATTTAAAGAAATGAGAACCCCAATAGTACCCTCTCACCTAAATGTTTGCTTAGCAGAGGCTGAGTGTGTCTTTCAGAATCAGTTTCTCAAGTATTAAAAAATGAAAAGAGTTAGGGTTACATCAAACCTATTGACCGACTTGAGAAGAAATTACATCTTTCAGTTTGAGTCTTCCACTGTAAAATACCACTCAGGAAGCAACAGAACATGGCCAGTTCTTCCAGAACACCTCTGTGCCACAGCTTCCCATCTCCTCCCCAGATATAACCACTATCCTGACTTCTAGAAATAAGAATTATATATTTCTTTTCGGGAACTTCATAAAAATAAAATCTGTCAGCATTTATTCTTGCATCTGGTTAGAATTCATGCGTGACTTTGAACTCAGGTTGCATACATTCTCATGGGTTTAGCAATGTGTGAACGTGCTGTTTGGGAATATATTTATCAGATGACTATTAATGAGCATCTGGTTATTTCTAATTTGAGGTCACTATGAAAGTTACAGTAATGAAATTTGTGTGACTGTCTTCTGGTGAAAATGTCTACATATTGTTGCTGCACATACTTAGAAGTAGATTTGCCGAATGATAGGGCATATGGATTCTCCAATTGACTGGTTAGGACCAAATTGTTCTTTGAAGTAGGTGTCAATTTACTTTTCCAATAAATAAGTTTTAAAAGCTGTATGTGCTGGCCAAAACTTGTTACCATCAGCCCTTTTATTTTATCCATACCAGTAGGGGGTCTTATTATGGCTTTGTTTTTCTGATAAGTAATAACTTTTCATATGTTTATTGCCATATTAAAATCGCCCAACTTTCAAATGTCATACCCATTTACCTTTGCGTGTTAGGCCCTTTTTAAAACAAGTTAGTATAAACCAAAAAGCCGTTTTAGAGGTGAGTCCTTTAGAGGTTAGATCCATATCATGTGTGGCTTGCCTTTGTAATTTCTCAGTAAGCCCTACTGAAATAGAACACTTCTTAATGTCAGGCTAGAGCAATTTGGTAACCTCTTCCTTTACGGTTATCACTTCTAACCTATTTGAGAAAATTTTCTCAGTCCAAGGTAATAAAAATATTCTTCCGGCATCCTCTTTCACATTATTCTATACTTGGGAAATATTCTTGAGTTTGGTTTAAGAGAAGCCAAGTGTCATTTTTGGCACATATTTACCGGTCATTGTCACACAGACTGTTCCCTGATTGCCCTGTCCCACTGGTTATAATTTGAGGGTACGCATATGCGTGGTTCTGTTTGATGCTCTGTATTCTGCTCCATTGTCCATTGACTAAACTCTCTTAATTAGGGATATAAATTGTGATGTCTGATAAAAGCGAATCTTCCCACTTGTTCTTTTTCTTCAAGAGTTCTTGGCCAATTCTTGTGCTCTGATACATATTTCACAATTGGTTTGTTAAACCCCTTTTCACCAAATCTTGCTAGAACGTGCACCAAATAGGCCAAAGAGGAGAGTGAAGATCTTTATTGTTTTGACTCTTTCTCTAGCCATTCTGTCTTATTTAGTTTCTCAAAATGACGTTTCATAGTTTCACAAATAAGAATATGTATATATATATACATATATATATATAATTCTAACTGACTGATCAGAGCTTCATATCTTGGAATATTGTCAACATTACCTTTTTCAAAACTTTTAGCTTCTAGTTGTTTACTGTTAACATATCCTCTTCTTATACTGACCTTGTATTTGAAACACCGCTGAACTGATCCGCACATTCCTGCATTTGTTTGCAGACAGCTTTGCTAGGTTTTCCTACCCCGCTGTAGCATCTCCAAAGAGTTAGTTCTCCGCATAGCTCCACCTGCTTTCCATTGTCCTATTTCACTGACAACGTCCTGTTCACACACGGTGGCGGTGGCGAACAGAAGCAGTAACGCTGACATTCCCGCAGAGTTCCAGATTGGGAAGGGAAGACTTCGCTACACCATCATTGAGCATACATTTTTCTGGAGTATTCCTAGTGAGCTTTTTACCATAAGAAACATATCGTCGGGGCCTAGAGATTACTCAGGGGTTAGGAGTGTACACTGTTTTTGTAGAGGACTTGGGTTCAAGTCTCAGTCTGACAGTTTACACCCACCGGCAATCCCAGCTCCAGGGCATGTGGTACCCTCTGCTGGCCTCTGCAGGCACTTGCTCTCATGTACATGAAACTGCACACAGTCAGCTAGCAACCCCCAACACACATTAGTTAAATTTTGAAAAATTTTGTCAGGCTAGGCATGGAAGTCCATGCCTGTAATCCTAGCACTCGGGAGGCAGTGGCAAGAGGATGGGAAATTCAAGGCTAGCCTGGTCTACGTAAAAAGTTTCAAACCAACACGGGCTACCTGCCTGTCTCAAAAATTAAATTAAAAAAAAAAAGAGAGAGAGAATATTATCTGGAGCTAGAGATATAACTCAGTGATAAAGTACTTGCTAGCATGCACAAAGACCTGGCTTCAATTCCAACACTGGAAGAGAGGGGTGGGGCACTATCGTCTTCTAGTCCTGGTTCACTAGACAATTTATCACAGTTTTGTTAAGGTCCAAGAGAAGCCCCCCAAAGAAGACCAACAGCCACATTTGCAATAACAAGAGTGCTTTATTAGCCGGGCAGTGGTGGCGCACATGGCCTTTAATCCCAGCACTTGGGAGGCAGAGACAAGCAGATCTCTATGAGTTCGAGGCCAGCCTGGTCTAGAAGAGCTAATTCCAGGACAGGCTCCAAAGCTACAGAGAAACCCTGTTTTGAAAGAGAGAGAGAGAGAGAGAGAGAGAGAGAGAGAGAGAGAGAGAGAGAGAGAGAGTCTGAGAGCTGATTGGTGGAGGAAAGATTAGTCTAAGGGCTGATTGGTGAGAGTCCTCCCAGCTGTGGGGTAGGGAAAGCTATCTTTAGTTATCTGGAGACTGGAAGGGGGCATCTGCTGAGCCAGCAAAGGGACTTTGGGGGTTGCTGAGCCGGCAGACAGGGCCATGGGGCATCTGCTAAGCTAGCAGAAGGTTGTGGGGCACCTGCTGACGGGTTGCTCCTAAGTTGTGGTTTTCCTGAGGATTGTCTGTTTAGCGCTGTCCCATTTTAGTGAACCGAAACTAAGGCCTGATCTCTGTCAGGCTACTAGGAGTACTAGGCTACCGGTCTGCCCCCGCCCCACACACCCCCATCCCCCGCACCACCACCCCCAGCCTTCTCAAGCAGACATCCTATTTTATCAACACTCTTCAGGCATCTGTTGAGATAACCTTCTGGCTGGCTTTCCCGCGTTTATCTGCCTTTGTAGGAGTCAAATCTATTTTACAGTCCTGGAGTAGAACAAATTTAGTTTGGTCCTTTAAAACACTGCTGGATTTTGTTTCTCTAACATTTTGTTAAAAGCTCCCCCTCCACCCCAGCCCACCCCCCCCCCCCCCCACGAACACATGCAACACACCCATGCACTTAGTTTCTGGGTGAAACTGGTCTGTCATCTTCCTTCCTCATAATAACTCCGTGAGGCTTTGATATGATGCTTCTGTCAACCATACAAATGGATGAGGCTTACAATCTTTCAGTCAGACTGTCATAGCAAAAATCATAACCAACGCGGTGGTTTAAACGACCAGAATTCACCTTACTTCAGTTCTGAGAGACCACATAAATCCAAAAGGAAAGTGGCATATTAGCAGGACCCCCCACCCTCTGAAAGCTCTGGGACAAGCCTTTATCTCAGTATGATCTGATGGCTCCAAACCTTAGCACTCTTCGGTTTGTGGTAGTACCACAATTTCTGCCTCTATCTCTAGGTAACTTTCCTGTCTGTGCTCCGCCTTCTTTCCATCTCTTAGGACATCGTGCTCTGGGTGTGGGCCACTGTGTGACTCAGTGACCTCGCCTTGAAGTTCTGACCTTACCTATCTTATCCACATCTCTGCCGAGGCCGTACACCGTACACCACACAATGGCATCCTGACACTGGTGGCACCTATCTTTTGGTGGCCACAATTCAGCTCACCAACAGATGCATTTTCTTCCTGTGACTCTCTGGAAATGTTTGGGTGGGATTGATCGTATTTCTCCCCTTATATATTTAGCAGAACTTATTGGTGAGTCTCTGAGATTGGCGTTCCTTTGATGGAGGAATTTTCAATTATATTTTTATCATTAAACTTTATTCTACATTGCATTAATATTTAAACGGCTATTTTCTCTATTTTTAGTGGCCATCCTAAAAATTACAAACTATACCCCTGACTTCTTTGTCTGTTTTGGGTTTTTTTGGGGGGGGGGAGGAGACTGTAGTTTTGTTTCGTTTTGTTTTTTGAAACAGGGTTTCTAGCCTTGGCTGTCCTAGAACTAGTTGTGTAGACCAGGCTGGCCTCAAACTCACAGAGATCTCATCTGCCTCTGTCTCCCAAAAGCTGGGATTAAAATCATGCCCACTACCACCCAGCACATCCCTGACTTACTAGCATACATGTGTTCCTTTTATTCTTTGTACTCCAGTACAGTATTTTAACTACACTATAATTTTGCCTCTTGATTTGTATTCTATTATTATTGGTTTTTAATTTATATGTATTTTAAATATGTAAGACATTTTTGTTTATATATCGATATGTACAGACTTACCTACATCCTTACAATTTCCTTCATTTTTATTTATCATACTATTATATCATTACAAAGATAATAACAAATATTATCCAAAAATCAGCATTTCTTTTGTTTTCATCATAATAGCTATAAAATATCTTTAAATAAAGCAGAATAGCATCCAGATGTCATAACGCACGCCTTTAATCCCAGCCCTTAGAAGGCAGAGGCAGGTGGATCTCTGAGTTTGAGGCAAAATCTTGGTCTACATAGGGAGTTCCAGTACAGCCAAGGCTACACAGTGAGACCCTGTCTCAAAAAATCAACAACAGAACATAACAACAGGAAATTAAACAAGTGTTACTTAACTGATAGGAACCTCTCCAGGGCTTATTATGTGGTTTTTGCTTTACACTGTCATTTCGAGGGCTCCCATTCTCAAAAAAATAGCAAAAATAAGTTATACCCCTGATACTGCTCCAATGTGGTATCCCTGGAGATGTGGTATCCCTAACAGAAGACATGAGAAATAAAAACATGCTACATTGTTAAAATTGTGTTTAAAATAATTCTTTCTACCTAGATAAAAATCTTAAAGGGAAATTCAATACCATTGTCCCAAGACAGCTTGGGGTTATTTTGAGTACAGACTTCTTTGTGAAATTCCCTAATTGAACGCAGAACATATAAATTATTGACACCATCACATCCCTACATTTAGGTCTGGTCACACTAAAATTCTCCCAACCAGGAAGAGAAGCAAAGAGTGCACCTGTGAACAAAAGCTGATTAAAAACCTGCTTCCATCTGCCCCTTACCCCCTCATCCCTAATCAAACATTTGTCATTAAATTTAAATATCTCTACATACTATGGCATCTAAGAAATGAACAGCAACTGAGATGAAGATCTCTTTTCTAAAGCACTAACAAGGGATGAAGTTGCCTTGAGAGGCTGGAAGCCCCAAGATGTCACTCTGGGAATGACTAGCAAAGTGAACTCAGGGAAGTTTGGGAGAATTCTCACCAGAGAGGAAGTTAGAGCGAGCAACGAAGGAGTTTTTTTAATTTGAGCAGTTGGATGGGGCCCAGCTTTCTGCTCAACTAATCTGTCTCCTTTGTTTCTCTTGTAGCCTCCAGGGAAGAAATTTGATGATTCCCTGACTGGTCAGAGTCCCTGCACGACTATTTATGTGGCTGCCACAGAGCCTGTCCCAGAGCCTGTTCAGGTGAGGCATCTCTGCTCCCCCCCCTCACTGAATGTCTGGTGAGAGGCTGAGAAGAAGAGGAAGAAGGTTTTTGTTCTTATATATTTATTTTAGGGGAGAGATGAAGTGAATCATATTGGTGAGAGTGGTCTAGATCCCACATGCAAAAAGGAATAGCTGTAGTCTTGGATAGGTAGGACTTATACAAAATCCTTCATGTGGGCTCATAGGCTGTGAGCCACTGTGTACTGACTAGTGTTTCTCTGAGAGTTGTCAAAGGACAACAAATACCTGACATACTTGTTTTGAAAACAGCAAACAGATACCACTTCTCTCATCCCCATTTGGATCTCACACCCTCTAAAACCTCAATAATCTAAACCTCTTTTGGCTTCCCCAAACTGTACTCCAGGACTGACAGTAAGTGGGAGAAAAGGAAGATGGAGAGGGAGAAAAGAATTCTTGAAGAATTCAGGGATGGTTATTTTGGTTGTCCGCTTGATGGGAGTAAGAGGCGCCTAAGAAACTGATAAAGCACACCTGTGGATGTGTCTGTGAGGGTATTCCCAGGGTCACAAATGGTGAGGGTTCTTACCTGATTGACAGGTTCCTGATCCATGATGTGCTCATAACACAATCATACTGTCAGGAAGCAGTGAGGCCCAGCTGGAGGAAGCCCACCCACTGTGTCCTTGAAAGAGGATATGTGTTGCTCTGATCTCCTTTGGTATCCCTCTTTACTGTTTCCTAACCACCATGGTGTGAGTTCGCTTGTCCTTTTCTTCCTCTGACTCTCTTTACCCTATGAGAGGTCTGTTACCTATTTTTACATTGCTGTGTCCAAAATACCTAAGAGAACAACTTGAAGGGAGATATATTTGGTCTTACAATTTTGGAAGATTCAGCCTATCATATGGGGAAGACATAGCATGACCTGGCAAATGTCCTGATTTAAGGGAGTTTCTTCCTAAGGAGGAGAGGGGATAGAAAAGAGGGAAGAGGAGGGATCGAAAGGCAAGGCCAGTCTTCAAATCTCTCATCTCCCCAATGGCACACTTATGCTTGGAAGGGAGATGGAGCCCCATTTGCAGGCAGGCACTGGGAGACCTGGGTGCTGGCCTAGCCATGTCCAGACTGTGACAGACTCGACTGTACATCATGCTATATGTACTACAGGAACTCTAAGCCTCTTCTTTCCCAGGGAAGGCTGCTCTGCTCACTGCCTGTGAACTTCGTCCCTCCATTCCATCTCTCATGAATGTCTTTTTTGCCCGCAGGAATCAAACCCCACCACAGTTTATGCCAGTGTGACGTTACCAGAGAGCTGACCCCCAGACACCCAGGGAAAGGACTTTTTGAAGGAACATAGAAAAATCAAAATCCACGCTGAACTTGGCCCTCAGTCCCGAGTTCTCTGTGACAGACACTGCACATCCGTCCCTTTCTTCAATCAATTCCCCGGTGATCGATTTGCACAGGCATACCTGTGAAGTAAGCAAGGAAGTGAGGTGTCCCAGGCAGGCAGCCTGCAGCCTGCTGCCTGCTGTGCCGCTGACACAGACACGGAACAGAGACCCCTTGGAATAGCGTTCCACCTTTGCTGTAGCGGATCAAATAGACGGTGTGAGTTCAGAATCTCACTCTATGCTGTGCTGGTAAACAAAACCCAGAGACAAAAAGCCAAGATGTGAAACACCTGCCTCAGATGGCTGAGCACAAGGCCCAAAGTCTGGAGATGTTTTTGTTCTGACTGTCTGTTTTATTCTGAAAGCAGATCCTGGTCACCTCAAGACCTGATCAAGGCTCTGTGCCTCAGTTTCCCTCTCACTCTCCGGATAAGGAGGGAATGAAGCGGTGTGTGAAGGATGAATTCTTTGTGACCGGAGGTCATTTTATAAAAGAACCAGTATTTTATTTGCAAAACTGAAGCTAGCTGTAAGTCAATAGGCTGAAGATGACTGTAGAGTCTAAAGTTTTGAGTGATAGAATGGAAACCATCCAAGGTTCTATAAAGTGTCGTCCTCAGCGAGCAGCATTCTGTTTAAATCGAAGTAGCAAGTGTTTGGGAACACTGTTATAAAGTAACCTGGGATACTTAGAGGAACTTGCCCCAGGGAGGTTTTTCACTTCTTTAAAGGACTTTTGAATCGAAGCTCTCTGTTTACTTCCTTGAGGGAAAAAACCCTGGACCCTCAAGATTCCCCCTCAGTTAGTTCTGAACCCATTTTACCACCCAGGCCTACTGAGGAACTGCAGGTCTACCAGGCACTTCCTATTTACTGCATACCTCTTTGTACTGAATTTATCTTCGGATAGAAAATTAAATTATTTTGATTAAACCGTTTCAATTGATTGGATGTTCAATCACTTAGATAAAAGTTGTGTGCAGAAAGAGTCTCTCTACGTAAAGTCCTATCTTCATGTTGTCTGCCCTCAGAGAGGCCATTTTCAACCTTTTGTCCTTACACAACTTTGGCAAATACTTTAAGAAATAACTGTTGTGGAGGTGGGGAGGGATCAGTGGATTCTGGTATAGGATCTGGGTTCAAACTCCTAGCTCCTGTGTAAGAAGATAGGCGTGGCTGGGTGTGCATGTTTCAGAGAAAGACAGGTCCTAAGACCTTTCTGGTTAGCTGGCCCAGCCTGACATGAATATCAAGTCCCCTGAGAGTGACAGAGGAAGACACTGGCATCCTCCTGTGATGTTTTCAAGCATAACCACTTACGTATTCGCATGCACACACACACACACACACACACACAAACACAATACACACACCTACTCGTGCATAAAAAAGCCAATTATATCATTGTGTAACAATGAACACCAACTGCCCAGCTCGAAACTCTGATGTCCCATTGCCCTGCATTTAGACAATTTACAGTGTAAATCTTGTTGTTTCAGGTATCCTCCTTTGTGGTACTAATTTCTATAGAGGGATTGCTCATCAACAAAAGCTAACTTTAGATTTTTTTGCAAAAAGGAAACCTGTTGAAAATATTCCAGTTGGTTTAAATAACTACTAGGAAATTCTGAAAAAAAACCTTTATGAGTTAGGGTTCTCTAGAGTAACAGAACTTACAGAAGGAATCCATTTCCATGGAAGGGGGTTTTATTAGAATGACTTTCAGGCTGTGATCCAGCTAATCCAGCAAGAGCTGGCTGTGAACAGAGAGTACAAGAACTCAGCAGTTGCTCAGTTTGCAAAATTAGATGTCTCAGCTGGACTTCAGTAGAGTTGGAATCCTACAGAAGTAGGCTATGATGCCAGTGAAGGAATGGGCTTGCTAACAAGGAGAGGATAAACAGGCAAGGAGCAAAAGCTTCCTTCTGCCATGCTCTTCTGCGGGCTTCCAGCAAAGGTGTGACCCAGATTAAAGTCGTGCCTTCCCACCTCAAGATCTGGTTCAAAGATGTGTGTCTTCCCACTTGAGATCTGCCTCAGAAGTGTGTGTCTTCCTACCTCAAAGGTCCGGACCAGAAGTGGATTCGCCCAAGCAAAATTAATCTCTCACAGGTGTGCCCTCCGTTTCTGGATTGTAATTCAAATCCAGAATTTGATTGATTAGCTGTGGTCAAATTGGAAACCCAAGAATAGCCATCACACCTCCTTTAAAAGTAAAGAGGATAAAAGAAGACTAGGCTGTGGTTAGGGTCATAACTAAAATTGCAAAGCTACTCTAGGGGCTGCAAGGCTCTACTGGGCACCGTTGTATCATAATCTCTGTCTACAACACTGGACTCAGACCACTGCCTTTTGCTTCTGTTGCACTAGTAACATGATCGTGGTAGTTGTTATTCCTGCATTGTCCACCACCAGAATGACTGCTCCCTCCTTCATCTTTTCATTGCTATCTTAGAATTCAAAATTTGATGCTTCAGAATGGGCAACCCTAGCTCACATGTCCTCATTTTACACTTCCAAAGAGGTTACGAATTTACTATCTGGAAGCTTCTACTTTTGTAGTGGCTGGCAAACTCTACCTTTTCATGAATTAGAAAGTTACCAATGGGGCTGGAGAGATGGCTCAGAGGTTAAGAGCATTGCCTGCTCTTCCAGAGGTCCTGAGTTCAATTCCCAGCAACCATATGGTGGCTCACAACCAACTATAATGGGGTCTGGTGCCCTCTTCTGGCCTGCAGACATACACACAGACAGAATATTGTATACATAATAAATAAAAAAATATAAAAAAAAAAAAAAGAAAGTTACCAAGACAGAAGCAAGGCTTAGATGCCAGACAGACCAAAAAATATTCACTACATGCCCTTGTAGAAGCTTAGACCAAAGGATTTCATTAATTCTTTGAAAATATCATATATGTGCAACATATTTTGATTGTGTCCATCCAAACTACCTTCCGACAATTCCCCTAGGAACCCACCAAACCATTTTCTTTCTGACTCAATGCCCTCTTTTTTCCTTACTGAATCCAGTTAGTGCTTACCATATGAGAATCATCCATTGGGCCCACATGCTCTAAAGAAAAGTAATTCCTCCCTCAGGAGCCATCAACTGTCAGTAACTCATGAAGCTTTGGGAGATCCCTCTCTCTGTGATGGAATTTTGACTGGTTTGACCTTCCACACTTCTTATACAGACAACCACAGCTGCTTGTGAGTCAATGTGTACATCAACCATATCATGTCTGAAAGACTACCTGTCGATTTTGAAAACCATAGAGCTACTTAGAATGGGGATGTATAAAGCCTAGAGTTACAAGCTTTCATTAATTTACTGCCATTCGGACAGCTCCAGAAAATCAGTTTCTAACATTTGGGCTTTTCCTATGCCTGAGCTTTACCTGATGGAGATGCAGAAATTTAGGAGAGTCCATTCCCAAAAGTTCTTGAATCTGTAGATTCCAGACCTCACTGAGGATGGGGGTTATGCCTTAGAGGCAACCTTTCTGACTACCCATCCAACAGTGCTTGGCCATTTTCCCCCTTCAATCCCACGCCTGGTTTGCAGGGTAGAAAGAAGAGAGCCTTTTCCAGTACTGCACTTGTGTGCTTCAGTCTTCCCCGAACGGCCCCGAGTGAGTCAAGCTCACCTTTCCCTCAGGCTGAAAGCATTAAAGCAGAGACTACAGAGACAGAATTCCCCGGCGTTGCTCTTCCAACACTGTTTTCTTTTGACCGAGCACATCTGAATTCTGAAGAAGTCAGGAGGAACAGACCCATTCTCGGTTTTAAGAGGCTAATGCTCTGAGGCCTGGGTGGAGTCCTTGGCTTCTTTTGGAGTCATACAGCCTGTGTGTGGTGATTACAGGGTACACATGTTGGCTGGGAAGACACTGGGTGCTCATACACCCCCTAAAATGTATGGTTCTTCTACTTTAAAGAAAAAGTCTTTCTATGCATCCCATGTCAGTTTTCAACTCCCAGTCCCCTAATTCAGCCTTCCAATTGCTAGGATTACAAGTATGTGTTTATAGTTCTGCCTTGGGAAAATTAATGAAATATAGTTAGTCCACTGAGAGAGACTCACTTCGGTCTCACGTTTCTTAGTATGGCAGTGTGGCTGGATATGTTTCACAGTCCGTGTCTCCGTAGCCTTGTCTGTGAACACTAAGGCAGCTGCTTTGGTAAAAATGAGTTGCGAGACTTTTGCTTCCCCAAGAGAGTGCACAAGAGTGAGCTCAGGGCCTCTCCTGCTGCTAAAACCCCGCATCCATTCTCCTTACAGAGGACAGAGTTGTGTCTAAAAAGCATTTGATTTTTGTCACCGCCAGAGTAATCCCCTTCTCTAAATTCCCCACCTCCACCTAAATTCCCCTTGTAGAGAAAACTGGAGCCAAATTTCTCAACTGACATTTGGGACTGGACAAATTTCTGTCACAATGGAGTGTTCTGTTCCTTTAACATCATCCTTGTGCCCTACCCACTAGGTGCCAGTAGCACATCCTCTCTCCCCCCATGAGGGAAGATACTATCCAAAGGTAGGGTACTGACTAGAGTGAGAGGCCCTGAATTTGAATTCCAGCAGTGAAAACAATTAGTGGGCCCAGATATTACTAGATTTTGCCAAGTAGGCAAAATATCCAGTTGAGAACCACTGACCCTGGACTTTTACTCAGCTTCTAATAAACCAAACACACGGTATTGGTCAGGGTTCTCTAGAATAACAGAATTTATACACTGACTCTAGATAGATAGATAGATAGATAGATAGATAGATAGATAGATAGATAAATAGATAGATAGATAGATAGATAGACAGACAGATATGAAATTTATTATAATGACTTACAGCTTACAGACTGTGGTCCAGCTAATCCAACAATGGATTGCTTTGAATGGGAAGTCTAAGAATCCAGTAATTGCTCAGTCCGCAAGATTGGATGTCACAACTAGTCTCCAGTAGATGCTGGAATCCAGAAGAAGTAGGCTCTAATGCCAATGAAGGAATAAACACAGAGTAAGGTAAGGGCAAGCAGGAAAGCGCAAAAGTTTCTTCCTGCCATGTCCTTTGTGGGTATTCAGCAGAAGAAGTGACCCTGATTGAAAGTATGTCCTCCCTCCTCAAGAACTGGATTAAAGGTATGTCCTTTCCAAATTTGAAAGATCTGGATTAAAGGGTGGATGAGTGTGTGTGTGTGTGTGTGTGTGTGTGTATGTATGTGTGTGTGTGTGTGTGTGTGTGTGTGTGTGTGTGTCTTCCTAAAATCTAGATTAGAATGGATTTTTCCATCCAGGCAGTGCACGCCTTTAATCCCAGCACCAGGAGGCAGAGGCAGACGGATGTCTCAGTTCTAGTCCACGCTGGTCTACAGAGCTAGTTCTACGACAGCCAGGGCTGTAGCCTTGTGTACAAAGAAACCTTGCTCAAAAAAAAAAAGTAGATTTTTCCTACTTAAAATTAAGCAAAAAAACCCTCACAGGTGCATCCTCCATCTGAGGGTTTAGTCCCTAGAGGGACATTATTTTAGTATCTCAAATATAACCACTTTATTTTCTTAAATGGTGTTACATCATATGATAAAGAAATTGAGGAAAGAAAACACAAATATCTGTACAAATACATACTTAACAAAATACAACAAAAACACTCATGTTAACCATAATCCTCACTTCTGCAACTGGCCAGGCCGTAGCAGGTACTTATGACTACCTTCCTCTACTACCCATTCCGTATTTTTTCCACCCTTGGGAGGAACCTCAGCAGGCCTTGACTCTTTTCCTGGAGGACTGACCCTTCCTTCATTTCTGATGGGTATGTACCCTTTGTCATCGTGCCTGGATTAGGCTGTTGTAGTTCCCTACTGATTTTAATCACACGACACAGTAGCACCAGGAGACACCCTAAAGGATCTCCTATACTCCAGATATA